GACGTTGTCAGTCCCTGCCGTCCGGCTCCAGGGGCCTCTCTGCGAGCCGCCCCGACCGCTGCGCTGTTGGCTGTCACCGCCGCTCTGACTAACGGAGCGTGCCGTGGCCGCCAGCGGCTGGGCGGTGGCCTTCAGCACGTACTCGGTGTCGGCCGTGCTGGCGCTGCTCACCACCTGCATCGCGGTGGCGTTCACGGTGGTGGCGGCCGCCTGCTGCGTCCTGCTGCTCCGGGTGAGTGCCGCCCGGCGCCGGGTGAGTACCGCCTGGCGCCGGGTGAGTGGCGCCCGGCGCCGGGTGAGTGGCGCCCGGCTCCGGGTGAGTGGCGCCCGGCGCTGGTGCGCCATGCGCCAGCTGGCCGGGCCGCCGCCAGTCGGCGCGGCCCGGACGACAACGCCACTTCCCAGTCGGGCTCTGGCTGTGCGTGGTGTTGGTCCGGCTGGCGTGAAGTACGAAGGGTTCGGCTTGGCTGTGTTGGTGGCGGGCTGCGGCGCGGTCTTGTCCGGATTGACGCACGTTGCATGCACGGTGAGGTTCAGGCTCTGGGTTGCAGGGGGTGTCTGTCCAGGTGGATGTTCCGGGCGTCCGTTGCCGTGGTTCAGGCGTCGTGTTGGCGCGGCAGCTTGCCTGGTGCGGCGTCCGCTGCGCGTCTGCGCTGCACGTCGGCCCACGTGGCTGGCTGGCCGCCGCCCTGCTGGAGCGCGGCTCGGGGGATCAGCCGCCAGGACTCGGACACTGCTACCAGCTGGCATGCTGCGTGGGGCGCGCAGGTCCGGTCCGGGGCACACAGACCTGAGTGCGTGTTAGAGTGCCGTGCCCACGCGTGCGCATGCTGATTTGGTTCACTGAGACCGGCGCCAGTGGGGCCTGCTACCAGCCCGCCATTCGACGGAAGCACAAAGAAGAGGCCTGTGCTGGCGAGCAGTGAATTGTTTGCTTTCTTTCTTTTGCAGTTTGGGTTGGTAGCCGTCAGCGATAGCTCCGATCATTGGCTCCAGTAGTCGGGCGTCTCTGGAGTGCACTGTCAGGGTTTGTCTCGCATTTGTTTTCCCCTTGGGTGAACGCAGTGGAGTCGGCTTCTAAGGCCCATCCTGGTGTCCCATTCACCCCACCCCAAGCCATTGAACTAAGTATGAAAACTCGAAGTTGTTTGCGTGTGGCTGCAGCATCCAGCTCGTATTTCATTCGTATCTCTCGATGTTTAGCTGTCTGTTATATGCATTTGCCGTAATAACGTGATTTTATGAACTGTTGTCAGTGTCATATGGATGAGCTATTACTGTGGTGTGGACTGGATATATTGCGGTCGGTAACCTGCTCTAATCCGTCACCCCGGCCGCCCCCCGCACCCAGGTCCACAAGATCTACCGCACCACGGGCGCCAGCATCAGCAAGGCTCAGCAAGAGTTCGCCACTGGCGTCATGCGCAACGAGACGGTCCAGAGCGCCACGGCCGACTTCGCTTCCAACGCCGTGCGTAGCCAGATGGCCCAGGGCGGCGCCGGCGACCGCCGCTTCTAAGCGGCGCCGCGCAGGTGGCAGCACCATCGCGCCGCCAGACGGCAGCACTCGCCCGGCGGCGCCGTGGCCGCCGGATAACGGCTGATGTGAAGACAGGAGAGAGCGCGCGCGAGGCGCTCGGATCGTGATCGCCTCGGCGCGAGATCATGGAGCTTGGTCTGCGTCCCAGTGGGTACCGTTGGCGAAGACGTCGAGATGCGTGAAGACGCCGTCCCGCAGCGGCAGAGCGCATCCTTGGCGGCGCCTCCCGCTCCGGGCACGGGCCCGCGCGGCCGCTCGAAATCCGAGGGCTGCCGCGCCCGGTGTTGATTCACCAGGTGATGGGCGGGCCTGGCCGCTGGCTGGGCCGGCACGCCGCCGCAGCTGGCCGCCCGTCGGAGCCCGCTCTGCCGGGCCTGACCGGCCTGTTGTGCCCGGCCCGGCAGGGTGGCGGCCAGTGGCGCCCCTCGCACTGTCTGTGTGCCGCACCGACGGCAGCCGAGCTGGCTGCGCGCGCTCCACGGACCCCCGTGTGGCTGCTGTCTCTCTCGACTCTACCAGTATATCCAACTTACAGCGTAGACGCATGTAACAGAACATACTGTGTGGCTGCTTCTTTGACGTAGGCAAATTGCAGGACTTTGCTTTCGGTTAGGAGAGGGCCTCGTTGTACATACCCGTGCCACACGAGATGCAGTTACTTGCTTTTATTTTGGGAACTTGATTTGGGGTCACGCCGTCGGTGTGCTTACTGTTCGCGTCCGAAGTCGGACCCCCGGGCGGGCGTCAGGTGTGCGCTTGGTCGTTGGCGTGTTGCGTGTGTTGGCGGGCATATTTATGTCTACGGTATCTAATATATTGTATTATTATTCCGTTCTGGATGTGCATTTAGTTGCGATGGTGATCTGTGTGAATAGTCTCAGCTGTGATCGGGCGGGCCGCTCTGGAAAGGGACATCTCTACCTGTAAAAAGGCTTACCTATGTCTAATAAACGCGATTCCTTCCTTCTGTGGTTTCGTGTTTTGTTGCTCTGGTAGATGGTTGTTCAACTGTTCGAAGAAGAGGCGTAAAAGGCGTCTGGCGGAGGGGAAGGGGCGCTTATGCTAGCTAATCAGTCCGTTAATCCGGGATTGCGGGTACTGACGGGTACTCGCGGGGTGACAACGCATGCTCGACGTGACGCGATCAGCTTGTGTAAACAAAGCGCCCGGCTGGTGGGTTTGCGCGCAGGCCAGCCAGTCCTGGGATTGCCGCCTGGTGAAGAGTGTCGGCTACGACGTGACTGCTTGCAGCGCTCTTGCCATAGCTTTGCCGACGAAATGCATGCTTATGCGGCCCGAAAACAGGAACACGTCAAGGTGTTCTGAAAACATGGAATAAGGTGCAGAAAGTGTGCTCGCACTTTACAGTACCGTCCACGTATTCGGCCTCTTTTGGTAAGGCTAACAGATTTCGCATGCCAAATCTCGTATCTCCTACGTCTGTCGCTGAGCTGTATTGTTACTACCAGGGAGCCACAGTTTGGCCCAGCCATTTTAACGAAAAAATGCATGGTAGACCGAAACAGCAGGAGGCGGTACATCTGAACACGATTCTACCCACTAGGCATAGGCCTGAGTCGCGCCGGTGTCGCGCCCGGACTCAGACATATCGAAGGCCGGGTGAGAGTCGGCTTAATCAGGTTATTTTACGGCTGATCTCAGACTCCGACTCGAGGCACCAGCACTCGGACTCAGCCATTATTAAAACCACGGACACCAACTAAGCTTTGATTTCCATTGAAGTCCTAACCACGCCTGAGCGATACAATCCAAAAGGATAAACATTGTAATACCATAAAATGATACCCAACACAGTACATGTAAAATGGATAGCTTGGCATAGAGTGTCCTGGCAGGTATTCCATACCTACTATGTTGTTGCCTAAGTTGCCATAAGAACGTATCTCAGAAATGTGTTGCTTTTTAACGCTCAATTGTTGCATCAGATTGAAATATTCCCTACAAATTGACTTCGCTGAATCCAAGACATGACTGACTTGCCGCAGATCAGTGACCTTTTAAGGTAAATCTAAATTGTTGATACGAAGCGCTCCGCTATTCAAATTTCCACAGCTCTGCAGATTTCGGCGCGGCTGCGCCTCGTCGTTCAAAAACCCTTTTCGAAAAATCTTCGGGAAGGGGGTCAAGCTGACCCCCATCTGAGCGCCCACGTTGGCCGCACCGGCGCAGCACCGAGGTTGAATAAGGACGAGTTCACTGTAAGTTTGCTTTGTTCCTGTTACCACTAACCATCTGGTATGGCACCTTATGTGCCGTTTGTGATCTCTGAGAAAGTTGTGTACTCGGACTTAATATTTAAACATTCATGTAGGGACTTCGACCCTTGACTCAGCATCTAATGGCTCAAACCCAGATGCACGGGCTGTGAGCATGATGGGTTTTATCTCGGACCCGGGCCCAGCTATGTACTACGTACAAGATGCAAGCACTGATGACTCATGATGTAGGATGCTCAGTAGGATGTACCAATTGTGGTCCTATGTGACCAGGAATAGTTTCAGCCATGTTGGCTGATATCCTGAATCTCATCCTGGAAAATAGATGTCTTGCAAGTATGGGATGCAAGTAGGCATGTGTAGCAAGTGTCAGTGTATAACTTAGGTTTCTGTGACATATGTTCAGCATGCCGGTGAATTAGAAACTTAGGTTTCTGTAACATATGCTTAACATGCAAATGAATTAGATCGTTTCACAACCATTGTCATTTAACATGATTTGAGTCTTTCTTGCAAATACCATAGAGGACACATAACATACCTAAAGCTCTCAGATACTTGCCACCTGAGATTTATCCTTGGTCTATAGATCCTTTGACTTCTTCCCCTGGGTTGATGATGTTGCTCTTCCATTTTTCACTTAGCTAATGCTTTAACTTTAACTTACTTACAGCTTCTTGAAATGTAAATGGAAGTGAGGACCTCTTGAGTACTGTATATGGAACTGACAGAATGTTAAAAACACGCAAGCTTGGGTGTCGTTGATTATGTTGCCAAATATGGTCTTCCTGCATCAGAATGTACGTTGTGACGTAATTTGTGTATGGCTATGAGAACCTAACGCAAGATTGTTTGCGTATATTTGTGTCGTAGGTTGTACATTTCTGTGTATTTTTTCAGCGTCGTAGATTGTAGTTGTAAGTTGTACATTTTTGCTTTGAGAACCTGGATTTTACAATTGTACGCCAAAAAAATATGCGATTTACGCCAAAAATCTACGAATTTCTGTTTTGAGAAACTGGCTACAGGTGGTTTTTTCAGTGTTATGAGACAGGAGTTGCTATGCTGACAATAATCCACCCGGGCATTTTTGCCGTTTGCTAGATACCGTTTAACGACGTTATTAAGCAGGTATTGGCTGTATTTACAAACTATTCCGTAGCTATGACAGAACTCAACCAATGTCCGCTTTATGATGTCGTTCAATCAGTATTCCCCAGCGTATCGGAGCTCGATTATTGTCAGCGTGGGAACACCCAGGTCGTCACGCCAGCGTGACGGGCTGGACTTGGGACTCTGACTCTGACTCGGAGTCCTGGACCTGTGTCATGTGTGCTTCTCGCGTGATCTCCGCGGAGAGACGCGGGGACGCATTAACCACGTCCTTAGGCCCCCCGTCCGTGTACGGAGATCGTTCAATGCCATACTTTCCTGGGGTCTCTCATAGTAGCTCGGGGCTGTGCCGCCGACCGGCGCCGGTACCGGAACCGGGGGCCTCCTCCGCTCGGACATGTCGGGCTGGGTCCGGCGGCGGCAGCTCCCCTCGGCGCACGCCTGGCGCGCTTGTTTTAGTCAATAGCATTGCCACATCAGAGGGCGAGTCCATCAGTGGTGCAGTATCATGTCCATCTCCATTTGGCGCGTCTCGGCGGCGGCGGCTTGGCCGATGGCGCGCCATGGACCGACCTGTCTCGCGCCGTATGTGTTGGCTGGGATTTGGCAGGCCGGTAACGAGGCGAGACATGCACGCGGCAGGTCTGGCAGCCGCGAGACAGTCGCTGCACGCTGCTTATTGTCTGCTTCATTAGGCGTGGGCTGTTATTGTGCAGTGTCCGAGGTTTTGTTTCATGCACAAAGCTGAATAGGACTGTGTGCCAGCATGACGGAGCAAGGTCTGCACCATGCCACTCAGGGATGGGGTGTGAGTCCCAAACATGATACGAGTCCGAAGTCCCAGGAGACTGGGTCCGAGTCCGAGTCATAAAATCATGAACCTGTATGTGAGTCCTTCGGTTCCATATGACATCATAAGAGCTTAAAACATTCTTCGATCGGCTGATGGTTCGGACCACCACACGCTTGTCCATTCTGCCGGGCCAGTCGGTCGCAGCCATAACTCGCAGCTGCAGTTTATATGACCGACTTTGCACTTATCGCCCCTGTGTTAGCTGATGAGGTGAAATCACTTCATGTTTGACAGGAAAGCACCTGCCGCGCATTCAGTCCCTTTGAAATATCGCACTTCTTCTAAAACCCGCACTATTTTAACTCAGCACTATCTTCTAAACTGCCTATCTCCTATCTTCTAAACTGCAACATCCTCGAGGCTATAACTAATAGATCGCCTTTAGCTTTTAATTGAGGTCAAAATATACGAGCGAGAAGTCATACGGCGAATAACTGGCATTCTCGTGAATGATCATTGCCATGCAACTTCCTCGTGTGCTTGCGCTTGCACCACCGTAAGTCATCAGGCCGCGCTTAAACTGGGGAGCGGGGCAGGGACTGAGAACCACAGCGCTCTGGAAATGTAGCATTGGCCCTGTGGAACGCTGGACTGGAAGGAAATGATACAAACGGCGATCGCTCCCCTTCACTCCCGATTGGAAGGGAATGATACAAACGGCGATCGTCTCCTCCTTCACTCCCATCTGGAGGGAATGGTACGAACGGCCATCGCTCCTTCACTCCCAACTGGAAGGGAATGATACAAACGGCTATCACCCCCCCCCCCCCCCCCTTCACTCCCAGCGTGGAAGGACGGGCCGTTGTCAAATGTACGGTAGAATACAAATTGTCGCAGTTTCGTAGCTTCCTCTCAGCACAGCAGATATTATCATCTAGACTAATTGGCCATGTAATTCATCAGTGTATAAATGTCTTTGTGCGTTGGCTGGAGCTCTCCAGAGTGATATGTCATGCTTATTTAACCCACAGCTCCCAAATGGCTTTTGCGCATGATTCCAACAGGCCTTAGTTCGCATATGGAAAAAATAACAGTACATCCTTCTGTTTATTACGGTGGCGATGAGAGCATCCAAATGACAAGCTGCTTGAGGATCAACAGCGTTCACATTCCATGCCCAGCACCAACACCCGTTTGCGATGGGCCCTAAGCGCTGCCCACCGTTCTCTGGCGTGATGCGTGTAGGCTGGCAAAAGCCACTGCGGCATGAGCTGGACCCATTCCACCCAGGCGAAGACAATGTGTGAGACGCACTGCTGCTACGACGATCCTCCTCTGTGCCAGCATTAAGCGAAATACGTTTTCAGCCCCTGTCCGCGCGCTGAAGCTGCATTCAGCTGTGGCTGCACTGGCGGTCAGGGTCATGAGAGGACGATCAGCTGTGGCTGCACTGGCGGGCAGGGGTCATGAGAGGACGACCAGCTGTGGCTGCACTGGCGGGCAGGGTCATGAGAGGACGATCATCAGCTGTGGCTGCACTGGCGGGCAGGGTCATGAGAGGACGATCAGCTGTGGCTGCACTGGGCGGTCAGGGTCATGAGAGGGCGATCAGCTGTGGCTGCACTGGCGGGCAGGGTCAGGAGAGGACGATCAGCTGTGGCTGCACTGGCGGGCAGGATCATGAGAGCACGATCAGCTGTGGCTGCGCTGGCGGGCGGGGTCATGAGAGCACGATCAGCTGCGGCTGCACTGGCGGCAGGGTCATGAGAGGACGATCAGCTGTGGCTGCACTGGCGGGCAGTGTCATGAGAGGACGATCAGCTGTGGCTGCACTGGCGGGCAGGGTCATGAGAGGGTGATCAGCTTTGACGACTTCAGGGGGATCGGTTGCCTCGCGTTGTGTCCTACCTCACGAACAACGGACTGGGGGAGGGGGATATATTTTCCTAACCGCAGCGGGGGTGGGTACGAGTCGCTTCCGGCACTTGTTTTTTGTCCTTAGCAGATGGAGCACTCCACGACAAGCGACAGGTCGAGCGGTCAGTTTTCCACGCTCATCCTAGGTTTTTAATTAAATAGATCAGAGGAATTGTCAGAAGCCTTGTGTTGTAGCGTTGAAGACGCCTGTGGCACTTCGAGGTGTCTCAGTTGAGCAGTTTTCGGAGTAACCACCGGCATTGTCGCGTTGTGTGGTTGAAGAGCTACGTTCGGCAGCGATCTTTTTTGCTACGGTGAAGGAAAACCGTAGGTACGAGCCTAGGTGCCATAATTATTCAAAAACTTTCCAGACTGCGTGTGTGCTGTGCTTGGAATCGTCCTGCAGAAAAAATATTAACTGAGGCATTATCAACATTTCAAATGCAAGCAGAATTCACTTAAACAAGGAACACGCTTGTTTTGATTTCATGATGGTACGGGGTAAATATAGGCATCTAAAGGGCCTCGTAAATATAAGTACGTAAGGCTGATATATGTTCGATTTTGAGGAAAATTGATCCTTGACCTATTTTTGATCAGAAAACATATGCTCATAACCAAAAGCGAGATCTGGTTGGGACCATTCCACTATTTTCTTTTCGGAGGTTTTTGTTTTCCTTGGTTTTAAATCGCCGTGGGGACAGGCTGCATATTGATTCCTCCCCACCATCAGTCCAAGTATCAGCCAGAAAAAAAACGGCGAATCGTGGCGAGGGCTAGTAGAAGGGCCATATCCAAACATCATGTTTGACATGTTCATCATGCAATTAGGGTTTGCACTCACGTATGCTCAATGTCATTACCCGGACATCAAAAGGAAAGAAAAACAGCAAGATAAATCTGCAGAGAACATTCATGAAATCACAGGGATTACATGCTGCACAGAAAGCCTTGCCTAGACGAATCTAATAGTTATAATCTGACATGAACCCAATAGTATTGATGGGTAAAAATTGTCTGGTCACCAAGTTCTCAAAAGTCTAACATCACCATTAGTTGGGTGTTTAATTGGATGTAATGGGTAAACAGCATAAAAGGTCTTGCGTGGCTCCCAGGTGGTACTAGCTCCCAGAAGCGTATCAACCATTTGGCCACCTTCAACAGCACATTTGCGCCAAGATCGTTGTTCGTCTCCTTGAGGGAATCTTGGTTAAAACATGGTAAATTGATGGCCAGCCATCATCTTATGGCGGCTCCGGCCGGGCCCGGACGGACTGTGTGGGCAGTGACAGGACGCCACGCGCGGTCCCAGATGGCGCTCCGGCCGGGCCCAGGCGGACTGAGCGGGCAGCGACAGGACGCCACGCGCGGTCCCAGATGGCTGCTCCGGCCGGGCCCAGGCGGACTGAGTGGGCAGTGACAGGATGCCACGCGCGGTCCCAGATGGCTGCTCCGGCCGGGCCCAGGCGGACTGAGTGGGCAGTGACAGGATGCCACGCGCGGTCCACGATGACTGCCTCCGGCCGGGCCCAGGGCGACTGAGTGGGCAGTGACAGGATGCCACGCGCGGTCCCAGATGGCTGCTCCGGCCGGGCCCAGGCGGACTGAGTGGGCAGTGACAGGATGCCACGCGCGGTCCCAGATGGCTGCTCCGGCCGGGCCCAGGCGGACTGAGTGGGCAGCGACAGGATGCCACGCGACGGTCCAAGATGGCTGCTCCGGCCGGCCCAGGCGGACTGAGTGGGCAAGATGACAGGCATGCCACGCGCTGTCCCAGATGCGGTCCAGCCGGGCCCAGGCGGACTGAGTGGGCAGTGACCAGGACGCCACGCCGCGGTCCCAGATGGCTGCTCCGGCCGGGCCCAGGCGGACTGAGTGGGCAGTGACAGGATGCCACGCGCGGTCCCAGATGGCTGCTCCGGCCGGGCCCAGGCGGACTGAGTGGGCAGTGACAGGATGCCACGCGCGGTCCCAGATGGCTGCTCCGGCCGGGCCCAGGCGGACTGAGTGGGCAGTGACAGGACGCCACGCGCGGTCCCAGATGGCTGCTCCGGCAGCATTCTCCTGAAGGGCCGCTGCCGAGGCACAGCTGGGCTGCCTGTCTGTGGCCCAGCTGCGCCCCCGCCGGACACGTGCTGGACATCAGGATATCGACGTGGCCTGGGCATGCGCTGGGCTCCAGCTGGGTCCTGCCTGGCCCCATCTGGTTGGAACGCTGTATACCAGCTGAGCACAAGTCCTTGCCAGGAATGGCCTGGCAGGAAACTTGTGCAGCAGGGCAGGGTAATGATGGGCTTGACAAGGGCGCAAGTTGGGCTCTGGCCCGGCACCAGCTAGGCTCTGGCACGGCATCAGCTGGGCTCTGGCGCAGCACCAGCTAGGCTCTGGCCCGGCACCAGCTGGGTTCCGGCACGGCGCTGACTGGACTCTTGGTACGCAAAGGCAGGCTGCCAAGTCAGGGCTCAGCCTGTTTTCGTTTGCTGTCCATACCACCTAGAGCTAGTAATCTATGCAGTGCACTGCCCATGCCTGGACTTAACATTTCTTTTTAGCAGCGAGTAAAGCCAAAACTGCTTCACAGCTCAGGTCGTGTTCCCTAACCTCACCTGGGCGAAAGATAGGTCATTTGAAGTGAGAAGTGCGGGTTTAAGGCTCTGGGACTGTGCTGCTTTAGTTTGGACGTAACTCCTGTCCTATACAGGCTTAAAACACGGTCAGGACGGTAAAGCACGCATTTTGTTTTTGTTTCGGGAGGTCGTGCAATGCTGGAAAAGGTATCTTAACACGCGCTCAGGCGAGGGTGGTCAAACTGACCCCCCGAAGTTTTTTCTGGAATAGTTTCTGAACGGCACGGCGTAGCCGCGCCAAATTTTGCATAACTGCAGGCTATTGATTAGCAGATTGCTTGACATACAAATTTAGGTGTACCTTGTAACCTTGGTGACCTATGGCAGGTCAAAGTCAGGCCATGGTTTCAGCGAAGACAATTTCTAGGGAACTGTCAATCTGATACAATGACGGAGTGTTTGACGAAGCCATAAATCTCTCAGATGATTTCTTAGGCACCAAATGTATTGAATGAGGAAGTTACGTTCACCCAAGGTCAGGTATGAAGGTCAGACCAAGGTCAAAACCAACCTGATTTATTACCCTAGGGCTTGCTGTGTGAGATAGTTTGTGGTGCTCATTTCGAATTTATTGACAGCAGGAATCCCATTATACATCTTCCATTGACTTCTTAGAGATCAGAAGAGGCCATTGACCTAAGATGACCCGGGTCGACATTTTGTTTTAGGAACATACTACTTAGCGTAATCTTTGTCGCTTATTTAAATGCAAAACTCAGGGCAGTCTTGTATGATTTTGGTCACCGTGACCTTCAAAAGATCAAACAAGGGTACTGACCTCGAATGGGGATTATGACCTTCAGAAACAGTTGCCCTAGGTTCTGGGGACACTTTAGAGACCAGCCTGTAATTTGACATGTTTGACCTTATTTGACCTGAAGGTCATGACCCGGCAAGCTCAAACTTTGACCTAAGTGAGTTCACGTACAGGTAAAGACACCCTGTACATTGGTGTCTCTAGCTTTCTTAGTTCCCGAGATCTCAGGGGGGCAAATTGATTCCCCCACCCGAGCGAAGGGTATCTAGCCGGCCACTCGGGCGCGCGTTTAAGGTAGCACTGACGTTTTCACGCTACTAATGCTGTGCAGGACCATGACGTGCCCTTTTGGCGCAACCATTGCAGGGTTATATGACATCATCATCTGAAGCCCGTTCGGCAAGCTGGATCAGGAAGCAGGTGGAGCGGGCCCCAATGACAAGCTACGCGTCCTTGTCCGAAAGGAAGACTCTCCGGCCCGTATCTTGAGAGGCTCCGACTCCTTTTGCCTTCACAGTTCTATCGCCGTCGAAGGAGAGAGTGGTCGCGGTGTTGCTTGTGTTTCACGGAAGCATGTCTTTGCCGGTGGAACGAGTTCTTGACAAGACACGCTTGGAAGTGACAAAAGAACACTGATGAAACCCAAGAAACCCCTCAACCCAAGACCTCCGTCCGTCTCAACTCATTCAACTCTCGGGTGGTAATGACTGGAAAGCTCTTTCACCGGCAATTGTGTCGTCATCCTCAGTTGAGCAGTTTAAACTAGGCTCGATTAATGCTAAAATGGCGTCATGTATGACATCAAACACTGCTCACAAGTCGCTAAATAAGATTATTCGTTTATCTGGACAAGATCTCGAAAAGGCCGAGATAGACAGGTCCAGTGCCGTTTGAATTCCTGGTCACCATTAGCTAAAACAGGTAACTTGGTAAGCTACAGTTTAGTTGAGGTGTGAAGTAAAATGTCTATCACCGGCGCAGGCCTCGCACTTCCAAACGCGGTCTCAACCAACGAAATCTAGCATGAAAGTCATACAATGTTTATATCAGAAGATGCACAAAATACTTTTGAACACCACTTTTACTTTTGTTTTAGCTGTGTTTACAAGGTTAGGACAATAAAACACGGAATGCAGACCATGCTAGATCCTTAGAAGAGCTGTGGAGCACCTGGTGACGAAAACTGACGGTTAGCTACGTCCTTCAAGCCGGTGAGCTTCTCACAACACGAAGACAGCCCGCGACAGTCTATAGCTTTGCGCCGAGCCCCAAATCTCAGCCGTAGCGAGCATTCGAAGCCTCAAATAGCGCGACAATTTAAAACGCCACGTAGCAGATTGATCACGTTCGTTGCACAATGCTGAGAACCATTCACGATTCTAACGGCTAGTAAAAAGCCCAGTCATTTGGTATCTTATGCTGTTTTAGGATGTGAAGTAAATCTTGGC